GTATTTTTTAGTAGTCACGGGGTTTCACCGTGTTAGCCAGGATGGTCTCGATCTCCTGACCTCATGATCCGCCCGACTCGGCCTCCCAAAGTGCTGGGATTACAGGCTTGAGCCACCGCGCCCAGCCACCTGCCTGCATTTTCTATTCCTCAAGTTGCCTGGCAGATTCTGGGCCTTGGTATGCATTTCTTCCCACCCTGGAGTCTTCCAGCATTTTCCCCTTGCCCAAGGCTGGGATGGACGTAGCTGTTTCTCCAGACTCACGTACATCTTAAAGAACAAAAACAATCATATCCCTATAAGTCAAAGGGTTCTTCTAGAGTGTCTTGTCCTGTGCCCTGTAGCTAAAATGAGGAGGGGACGAGACCTCCCCAGGCCTTGAGGACTTGCAGGGATGATGCTCCTCGTGCAGGCGGTTGATACACAGGGTGCCGTTGCCCCACAGCTGACAAACACCGTAACGATGCCTTGAAGGCGTGAATCATTTTATCACTTTCCATCCTCACATGCAATTTTACTTTGAAAGCCTAGAACCCTTTTCACCATGGGCACCCAGGTTCTCCACATGCACAAGTCCCTGAAGGGTTGGTGCTTCTTGGTGTGAGTTCCAGATCTCAATCCTCTGGTGGTTCATGGTGTTACCACTGACTCCCATGTCCCTCCTTGTCCCCTTAGTATGGAAATGAGATCCGCAGGATGCCAACTTTCCAGCCCGGCACAAGGGAGAAGCTGTTGGACTCCCTGGTTCCAGCCTTGCTAACTAAACCCATCTCTTCCTATGCCACCTGCCTGGGCCCCTCCTGGGACTTTATCACCGTGCCACACTTTTTGGAACTACTGGTTAGAAGGTGAGTGTCCGTCCCCTCCAAGGCAGAGAGGTGCCTTTGTCCCCTACTGGCTGGGTCTTGAAGATGCAGCTCTCGGAGCCTCTGATGGCTCCTCTGGAACAGGGAGTAGTGAGAAGATGAACCTCACAGGGTTCTTGTAGGGACTGAACGATCTACGACTTGGCAAACAAAGGGGTCCCTAGAACCTAAAACTCTGGAAAATCTGCTGTGGGTGCTGTGATTCATGTTTATTATTTTTGTCTTCCCCCTCACTGAAGCAGCTCTCAGCATTCTGTCTCAGTGGCCTATATCCTTTGCAGTTTGGAAAAACACACAGAAAGCAAGTCTGCAATGGCATTGGTAAAGGATGTCTGAGATTCCTTCTGGCTGGTCTTTCTTCTTGACACAGACAGAAGAGGGGTCCCTTGGTGCTGAAAAGGGAGCCACAGGCCCACAGACATCTGGAGAGGCTCACTGGGGTTCTCCAACGGTTGAAGTTCACTCATTCAACACATACATACAGAACACCTCATTTGTGCATCATTCTTGTGGCTTGGCATAACTTCATAAACAAAATAATCCCTGGGTCTCAACTCTACCCACAGTCAGGCGCTCATAGGAGACAGAATAAACAGGTCATATCTACAGAATGTTAGAGGTGAAACCCTCATGGCCTCCTCTACATATGGTGACATCCTCCCAGATTCTGACAAGAATGACGGAGCCCAGCAACAAGTATACACTGGGTGGATTTAGGATTCTGAAGGGTCTTTTCACCCACAAAACATGGGGGAAAAGATGTGTAACCTGGCAGGGGAGAGACTAAAGGAGCACTGGGGCTCATACTTCTTGTAATTCACACAAGGCAGCTGACGTCTAGGGATTTCCCCTGCAAGAGGCAAATAGTGAGTTCTGTAAATACAGACTTAGTTCCCCTACAAAGGAGAGGGGAGGTTGGGGTCACAGCTGGCCACAAAGAGACCCATTCCCCAGCACCATGGCTACGCAGCTCTCCCTGTCCTCCTCCACCCAACATCTGCGTCTACCCTCCTAACCCCAGCACCAGGGGACCCAGAGCTGGAGCTCTGATGAGCAATCTGCTCATAAATCAGCCTGGAGCTGCAGTCTTGAGTGTCCAGGTGCACAGTGCTGTGATCCAGGGCCTTTGGGAAGAGAATGTCAGTGGAACGCCGGGGCGTGCAATGGTCTGTACAGTCCTGCTGCATGGGCAGGTCTGCCCCTTCCAGGACAGCACTGATGACCTGGGGTAGGGTGGGGCTGTCCTCTACACAGGCAGGAAGAGGCCAGGGACCCAGAACCACGCAAGTGTGCCCTGGAGGGTTGTGTGGGAGAAGGCCAGGTCTCTGACTCAGCTGTCCACTCCATCACCAGCACCACCACCTCCATTTTGTTCACCTGGCCCCTTGAAAACACTTCAGTTTGCTATCAGCCCCCGCAACGGTCATCTTTCCGGATAAAGCTGGCCTTCAGGAACTTCGCCTGGCCTGGACTGGGTGTGGAGGACCACCAGGAACTTGTCCTAGGCCAGTTGGTACTTCCGGAGCCTAACGAGGCCAAGCCAGATGGTGAGGTGGCTTGCAGTCTGGAAGACTTTCCGGGGGTGGTGTTTAGGGGCTACAATTCCCTTAAATTCCATCCGGTCATTTCTGTGCTTGGAAAACCCAGTAAAAAGTGACTGCTATGGTGACTTTTTCTCCTCTTCCAGATCCTGCGCCATCTCCTGAGCAACACGCATTAACCATGCTGGCCCTGGAGCCAGTACCACCACTGCTGGTGGACCTGGGGGCTGCTCTGGAGCCAGAGTCACCTGTAGCCCTGGATGCACCAGGATATCTACATTCAGCACCAGCACCAGCACCAGCACCAGCACCAGGGCAAGGGCCCCTTCCAGGAACACCGCTGGAGCCGCAGTCAGCCCTAGAGGCCCCCTGTCCCTGTCCCGGGAGTGTAAAGAACCAACCCCCTGACGAGCTGTCTGACGTAACGACCTTCCCTCCCAGGCTGCTGGCAGAGCAGCTGACCCTGATGGATGCGGTGAGCAGCTGGGCTTTGCAGGCTGTGCCTCTGGCATCAGTTGTCTCAGACCAGCCTCTCTCTGAGGAGTGGCCAATACCCCGGGTCCAACTGCACCTCTACTTCTTACCAATCATGGGATTTGGATGAGTTTCCTCATCCACAAGCCTTCCCTGTCTGCATGTGGACAACAGAGTTGGGACATCACCTGTGCCAGCTCCACAGAGGGACTGTGCAGACTGAAAGACAGGGGATGGACAGAAAGCAGGGCAGGGCAGGTGATCACTGAGGGGCAGGCAGGGCCATGGGTCACTCACCCAGCTGCTCAGGAGCCTCACGACCCTCAGCGCTTATTAGGTGCCTGATGCATACTAGATTCTATGGGAGACACCCAAACAGAGCCCATAGTTGCATCTGCCACAAGGAAAGTGCACCGGTGTGGAGAAGAAGTAGAGGGCTGATTGGGATGGGAGGAAGACAACGTCTCAGGACGGGCAGGCCTGAGCCACCTTCTACTCCTTGGAGGGCGGATGGCCTGGGAGAAAATGTCACTCTCTCTTCCCACTCTCATGGAGTTTTGGGCCATGATGCATTCAGGGGCCTCGGTAGGCAAAGTATCAAACCCAGGGACTCTCACACATCTGGAGCCCATTTTAAAGCTTTCTGAGCTCCAGCTCAGTTCCTGCCAGAGACCATGGATGACTGTGAGCTCAGTCCCTGCCTGGGACTGTGGGTGACTCTGAGCTGCGGTGTGCCCTGTCCATGACACTCTCCTCCTCCCCCAAAGGAGCTGTTCAAGAAGGTAGAGCTCTACGAATGTTTGGGCTCTATCTGGGACCGACGAGCTAAGGAGGGGAATGAGCACGTGGCACCCACAGTTCGTGCCACCATCGCACATTTCAACAGGCTCGCCAACTGCGTCACCACCTCCTGCCTCGGGGACCACAGCATGAGGGCCCAGGACAGGGCCAGGGTGGTGGAGCACTGGATCAAGGTGGCCAGGGTAAGCCATGGTTGGGCCTGAGGATTCCCTCTCTAAAAATGGGGAACTGCCTCTTCTCCTCCATCGGCTTTCAGGATTGGCATCTGTATCTCTGGCCTAAGCCCTTCACACTCCCTAGGCCCTTCTTGCCAGAGCTTCACTGACCTTGACTCCCATGGCCCAGTGGTGGCTGCTCACTTCCAACCTGGGCTCTTCCTTGGGTTGAACTAAAATCCTACATGAGTGATATGCACTCGACGCCAGGTGTGCCCTCCTGAGGCTCCCTAGGCCTCTGCTTTGTCCAGGAGGGGAGATCTCAGTAGAGGGGGCTGAGGCTGAAGTAGGCCGGGCTCCAACTCTGGACCTCACAGCTCACTCTTCCCTCTCCAGGAGTGCCTAAGCCTCAACAACTTCTCCTCGGTGCACGCCATCGTCTCTGCTCTGCACAGCAACCCAATACATCGGCTACACAAGACATGGGCAGCAGTGTCCAGGTGAGGAGGACTCTCTCCATGGGAATGCCAGGGTTGACCTAGGGATTCGTAGGTCTCCCCATGTGCCCTCAACGACTCTGAAGGGTTCTTGGAGACCAGGGACACTGGAGGCAGGGATGGGCCCATGGGTGTGGTCACTAAACTGTCTTGGACTCCTAGGCAAGGATTTCCAACTCAGGACTAAGGTTTTTTAATCATCAGGAACAGACTGGAGCCAACTGGAGGCTTTCAGGTGTTTGCACCCAGCAGTGGAACTGTGTCCAGCTGGAAGCTAACTGTGAACATGCAGGGGCTCATGGGAAGTGGAGACGGGCCAGTGGAGGAGCATGACAGGTCCCACCCTGGTCCTCTGGAGTCCTTTTCATCAGAGGACCCCATTGGAAACTCTCACTCAGGAAGTTGGGATTCTCTGGGCTTTCAAATAAAAGGGATTAGATTGGAACTCACAAATCTCCCAGCTTATTCCCAAATTTACTCTTTTTCTTTCCTCTGTCCATAGCAAAAGCACAAAATATCTAAAAGAACTCTACAAAAAAGACACTACATTGAAGAGGGACCTGCTGATCAAGGTACAGTGGAGTCTGGGAGATGCCGCACAAGTGTTAAGGGTCAGAGAAAAGAGCGAGTTTGGAAGGGCATTGGACCTGGTGTGAAGTGGTTATTTTCCTTTGTTTTGACTTACCTACTAAAAGTGGACCTGAAAATTTCCCTCCATGCCTACCTTGGGCCAACAGGGAGAGAGGTATGAGGGTCCATGGGCACGTGGGGGAACAGGGGCAGGAGGCCCTGGAAATGGGATGTGGCAATGGCTGCTGGGCTGCTGAGCGGGGGTGATGAGCTGCAGTGTTAGCAGGGCTCTGGCTCCCATGCTGGTCCATGCTGCTGGCATGGAGCTTCCTCCAGGCTGAGGGATGGTTATGGTAGGTGGGACTTTCTTCCCTCCTCAAACTGGCCAGCAATTCCTCAGGAAGTCAGGCCTCTGCTGCTGCTTCTGTCTGCAGTGCACCTCCATGGGCAGGGGACCTCTGCCCACACTGTGGGAGAGGGGGAACGAAAACAGAGGAAAATCATGTGCCCGGGAGTCCAGTGGACCGCCCAGCTATGGGTACCAATGGGCATGCTCGGGACAGACATACATGTTTGCGGTGACTGCCCGCTCTGCCCTTTGCAGACACCCGAAAACCGTCATGTCACAGGATTCTCACCAGTTAGCAGTGACACATGCTCATGACAAGTATCTCAGGGATTCAGGCATTCCCAGGGGATCCTCCCTGACCAGATCTCAGAATCTGCCATGCAAATGAGAAGGCAACATGTTACCCCACCCAGGATTCTGCAAAACTCTGCCATGTCAGTCAGAGATGGAGCCACAGGAGGCCACATCTTGAGTAGACGAAGAGAGAGTTCTGTGCACGGAACTCCCCTGAGGAATCAATGGCAACGCAAAATCTTTGCCATGGCTCAAATCAAGTTTGTGTGTCACAGACTCCAGTGGGGCTTGGATAGGCAGGTGCCGCTTAACCAGGTCTCCTAAAATGACCTGTCTCTTTCCCATCACGAATGTGTCTGGTTGGAGACCTAGACACTCAGAGACTCCAGCGAACACGACCCTGATGGGTGGTGGTGCTAGGATATGGGGTGAAGGCAGCCGAGACACAGCCTCCAGGACAGGCAGGAGGCGCCCTGTCTTTTGGGGTCCTGGGGAGTCACTCTCCACTCTGGGCCTCTGTTTATTCTTCTGGAAAATGAAGGGATGCTGAGCCTGTAGTGCAGCCCTCACATGATGAAAATGAGGTTAAAGAAAAGAAAGCAATTTGAGGGCGCTTATGTCTGGTTCTTCCTCAGAGGGATGAGGATGAAAACAATGGCAACAGCTACAGGAAACAGTACTCAGGAAGCCCTGTGAGGTAGCTGTGGTTTTCATCGCTCTTTACAGAAGAGGAAAAAGTCTCAGGGAGGCCCGGCTGCATGACTGGGTGACACACACAGGAGTGTGGAGCTGGGCCAGTGGAATGAGCACTGTGCCAGATGACACACGCCAGTCCCTGGGGATCCAAGTGCGGGGTGGCTGGGGTGTAACTGGGGGAAGGGAGGAGAGCCTCACTGTCTCCATCACTGACACCTCGCAGGCGGGGAGCTTTAAGGTGGCCACCCAGGAGAGGAACCCACAGAGAGCGCAGATGAGGCTGCGGAAGCAGAAGAAGGTGAGCGAGCCTTTTTCATGGAGGGGCCGCAGGCGATCAGAGGACAGGGCTCCCTTCCCCGCCAGCTGGAGGCCTCCATATCAAGACAGTGGGAGCTTCCTCCCAGCCCTGTCCTCCTGTGGACACTAGGCTGGGAAAACCTCCATTTGAGAGACCAGAGCAAGGGACTGGGAAAGCTGGACTCAGAGTGGATGTGGGGAAGGGTAAGGCTAGAACCACATGCCCCTGTGGGATTTTAACAATTCTAATAACTAGGAATGCTTGCTAGACTTGGAGGTCAGCTGGGATAGAGGAGGCAGAGAATTGGGAAAGGCAGCTGAGGGTCTTTGGCTGCTCCGACTGGGAGACCTGGGGAGTGGTTCTGGGAGACAGGGGCTGATGAGATTTCATGGGACAGGACCTTGGACAGGCACCTGACGGCCAATACTCATCGCAACTACCCCTCCCACTTCTCACCCTTCTTGGCACAGGGAGCGGTCCCTTTCCTGGGGGATTTTCTGACTGTGTTACACAGGTTGGATTCGGCCATCCCGGATGATCTGGATGTGAGTGAGCCTGGGGCAGGTTGGTTGGGAACCAGGATCCTGAGGCTTGGGAGGAGAGGGTCCTGGACCGAGCCCTTAGATCTCAGCCCTTGGCAAACCTCCTCTCCTGAGAGCCTCACAGATGCTCCTGTGGGTGGGGGTATCAAGCCCATCTCATCATCTCTGCGTGATGGAGGCTCCATGGCAGTCACCAGTCCCTATTCCTGAGTGGTGAAGCTGCAGAGCTGCCTGACTGCAAAGCTGCTGAGGTGTGGGCTGAATTGGATTCAACCTTTCTCTAGGGTAGTCCCGTAATAGGAGAGTGAAACTGAGCCTCTCCAAAGGCAGGTAGTTGCAGGGTCACTGAGTGCTTTCTTTCTATGAGAGGCCTCAGTTTCCCTGTCTGTCATCAGGGAGGGTTGGGGCAGAAGGTCCCTGAGCCTCAGCTCTCATGCCCCCTGCACTAGAACCTGGAGCCTGAGGCAGGTCCAAGTCCTGTCATGTGCACATCCTCTGACTCTGGTGGCCCTGGCAGTAATGCAGCATGGGAAGGGGTGGGGTGGGGCTGGTTGTGGGCCAGGGACCTTTCTGATGGACTCTGTCTGCCTTCCAGGGCAACAGCAACAAGAGGAGGAAGGTGAGCAGCTGGGGCACTCACGTTGCATGAGGGTGGGGATGTGGACATCGCAGTCCACCCTGGGCAGGACACTCCCTGGCTCCAACCTCTACATCTTAGGTTTACTGGGAGGGTTTGATATACACAGGAGAAGGAGATCTAGCCCAGTGGAGAAAGTGGGAAATGGAATGGAATCAAAGACCAGTTCCTGCAAGAGGGGATGTTTACATCCAACTCTGAGAACAGGCTGGGGGCTGCATGGGGCCCCTTCAGAAAACTGCCCCAGGGATCTGCCCCTTCTCCCTGCCTACCAAAGGTCCCCTTAGCATCTTCCACCCAGGCCCTGTCAGCAACCTCTCCTCTGTCTCTAGGAGGTGCGAGTTCTGCAGGAAATGCAGCTGCTCCAAGTGGCTGCCATGAATTACAGGCTTCGGCCTCTTGAGAAATTTGTCACCTATTTCTCAAAAATGGAGCAGCTCAGTGACAAGGAGAGGTGAGGGTCTAGGGGATGGGCACAGGGTGGGAGAAGGCTCTCCATTTTTTTTTTTTTTTCCCCCAATATGGTCTGGCTCTGTCGCCCAGGCTGCACTGCAGTGTGACCATCTCTGCTCATTGCACCGTCTGCCTCCTGGGCTCAAGCCCTTCCTCAGCCTCTCAAGCAGCTGGGACTACTGCTGTACACCATGTCCCAGGACGTGGTACAGCCTGTACAGACACCATGTCCTGTTGTTCTGCTGTTGTTCTGGTACAGATGGGGTTTCACAATGTTGTCCAGGCTGGTCTCAAACTCCTGGCCTCAAGCAATCCACCCACCACAGGCACCCAAAGTACTGACATTACAGGTGTCAGCCACCCCACCTGGCCTAGAGGAGGCTCTCCCTGTGGCAGGCTGCAGAGAGCCTATGGCCAAGACTCCCAGGATTCCAGCTGGGCAGGCACTGACAGGGGACCTGATGTGTGGCTCACGGTGGCCTCACAGCTGCCTCTCTCTCCTGCAGCTACAAGCTGTCCTGCCAGCTGGAGCCCAAATCCCAGTAGGCCGGCAACATCCTGCAGTGGCTGGGACCCCATCGGGGTGCTGGCCAGAACACCGGCTCTGCACCATCCTTCACCCAGACCGGGGACATCAGGGAACCATATCTAGGAGGCTGGCAGCTCAGCTGCATCTGGCCCCTGCTCCTCAACACAAGCTGCTCCTGCTGGCCAGGATCAGGCCATGGGACTTTTGCGAGTCAGGCGGGAGACCATTTTATGTTTATTTTCTTTAGTGTGTAAGTAAGGGTTTTTTTCTTAGCTTTCATTAAAATAAAATTTTAAAACACTATTCAAAATGTTCTATAGTTGTTGGAATGAGAACAGTAACTCCAATGCAGTAACCGCATACCAGTCTTTAGGATTCATAGTCTAGCATGTCAAATTGAGACTATGGCTGAACAAGTCATAGAACTGCGTTCACGTTACACATACCAACCGTTTAATGTTTTCCTTTTTTATTCAAATTAATTATTGTTAACTCTGTTTAAGGAAAACAACAACAACAACAAAAAAACCAAAAACCCTTAAAAAACATAGTATGTCACCCATCTACCTCACTTGTTCTACTGACCATCTACTCTCAAACTTAGATTCTAGTTAAATTCAAGTTCCACCGGGGTACTCTAATTTCTTAAGGTTTAAATATTTAATGAATCACTGAAATATTTACTGAAGGCCTGGAGATAGGAGGTATTTAAGCAAGTGGTAGGGCTGGCCTCCTCCAGAAGTCCTGGGCAGAAGGGAGCTGGCCATCAGTCTCCATGAAATACAGATAAAGTTTTTCCACTATGGATCTTCCCAGACTTTCTGACACCTGTCCCCCCAAATAGCTAATAAATAGGCAATGGATATAAACCCACACTTCTCTAAAGATGATGTATAAGCAACCAAGAAATAAGAAAACACGTTCAACCTAATTGTCAGAGAAATACAAATTAAAAGCACAAACAGATATCATCTCACGCTGGTCAGAATGGCAATTACACAGTCAAGAAAAAAAAAAGAAAGGACACTAGCAAGGCAGCAGAGAAGGGGGACACTAGTTCACTGATGGTGAAAATGCAAAGTAATTCAGACACCATGGAAAGCACTTTGGAGATTGCTCAAGGAACTTACACCAGAACTACCATCTGACACAGCAAGCCCACCACTGGGATATATATATACAAAGGAAAATAAATCCTTCTGTCCAAAACACACATGCACACAAACGATCTTGGCAGCACTATTTACAATGGCAAACATGTGAAATCAACCTAGGTACCCATCAAGAGGGGATCAAAGGAGGAAAATGTAGTACATATATACTATAAAAAACTAAGCAGCCATTAAAAAAACAAACAACAACAACAAAAAAAACAAGGAAATCATGTCCTTGGCAGCAACATGAAAGGAGCTGGAGGCCATTATCTAAAGACGAATAAGGAAAACAGAGAACACCAAATGCCACATGTTCTCACTTCTAAGGTGGAGCTAACATTGAATACACCCTACCGTAAAAGTGAAAACAACAGACACTGATGACTCTCAGATGAAAAAGGAAGAAGGGACAAGGTATGGGCTAAAGACCTACCCGGTGGGTACAACTACTCCTTGCGTGATAAGGTCTCTGGGACCCCAAGTCTCAGCGTCATGCAACATACCAAAGGCAGTAACTAATCTGCCTTTGTACCCTTTAGTCTATAATAAATGTAGAAACTGGACCGGGTGCGGTGGCTCATGCCTACAATCCCAGCACTTTGGGAGGCCGAGGCGGGCGGATCACAAGGTCAGGAGATCGAGATCACGGTGAAACCCCGTCTCTACTAAAAATACAAAAAATTAGCCGGGCGCGGTTGCGGGCGCCTGTAGTCCCAGCTACTCGGGAGGCTGAGGCAGGAGAATGGCGGGAACCCGGGAGGTGGAGCTTGCAGTAAGCCGAGATCGCGCTACTGCACTCCAGCCTGGGCGACAGAGTGAGACTCCTTCTCAAAATAAATAAATAAATAAATAAATAAATGTAGAAACTATGTTAAAAAATACAAACTTAGAAGCTAAAACAATGAACGAAAAACACAAACTTTTATAATTATCCAAATAATCTTTTATTGGCATAAACTAAGAAAGTGGACGGAATGAGTACACCAAATACTCAACCCCAATTTACATATAGTGAACACATTTTTCAAAAGAACACCAAAAAGACACAATGGGCAAAAGAGAGTCTGTTTAATAGATGATTCTGAGCAAACTGAATATTCACAAACACTGAAATAGGACCCTTATGTCATGCAACACAAAAATCAATACAAAATACATTAAAAGCCTGAAACTCAATTCTGAAACCACAAAACTCCTGCAAGAAAACATAAGGTGCACATGTATTTTTGAAAAGAAATCCATGCACGTTGGCTGCTAAAGGTATTTAAAAAAAAAACAAAGGAAACACTCCAAGAAAACACCCATAGACAATGTAATGGCTTGTCATTTTCACTGAAAAGCTGGGGACCCGGTTCCACAGAACAGTGGAACAGATTAGAAGACCCAGATATAAACCTGCACACCTGAAACCATCTGATACTTGGAAAAAAGTCAACAAAAATAAGCAATGGAGAAAGGACTTCCTACCAGTAAGTAGTGTTGGGACAAGTGGCTCGCTAGATGCAGAAGAAATAACCCTGGGCCCGTGTCTCACTGTGTACAGAAAGCAGCTCAAATTGAATCAAAGATTGAAAAGCAAAATCTTGGGCTGGGCGCGGTGGCTCATGCCTGGAATCCAAGCACTATGGGAGGCCAAAGGGGGCAGATGACTTGAAGTCTGGCAGTTCAAGACCACCCTGGCTGACATGGTGAAACCCTGTGTCTACTAAAAAAGCAAAACTTAGCCACGCATGGTGGCACCTGCCTGTACTCCCAGCTACACAGGAGACTGAGGCAGGAGAATCACTTGAACGCAGAAGGTGGAGGGTGCAGTGAGCCAAGATCCCTCAATACATTCCAGCCGTATGACAGAGTGAGAGTTGGTCTGTAAATAAATACATAAAAATCCAAGAGCTGAAACTACAAAAAAAAGCCTGCATGAGAATCTAGCAAATACACTTCTCAACAGAGGCTTTGGCAAAGCATTTATATGTCAAGTCCCCAAAAGCAATGGCAACAAAAACAATTCCTGGTAAGTGGGACCTAATACACAAAAGAGCTGCTGCAGAAGAAACAACCAACAGAGTCAACACACAGCCTATAGAATGAGGGAAAATATTCCCCAACTATGCACTTGAAAAACGTCTAATACTCAGGGTTTATCATAAAGACCTTAAACACATAAAATCAGGAAAAAAAACCCCAACTTATAAATGGGCAAGTGACATGAGCACACACTTAAAGGAAGGTGTACCAGTAACCAATGAGAATGAAAACATGCTCAATCTCACTGATTATCAGAGAAACGCAAATCAGAAACATACTGAGATACCATCTCACACTGGTCAGAACGGCAATTATGACACACAGTCCACAACAACAGAGGCTGGTGGGGCAGATGAGCAAAGAAATGCAGGTTCACTGTAGGGGGAAATGCAAACTAGTTCAGACTCCCTGGAGAGCAGTGTGGAAATGACATTTCTCAAAGAACTTAAAAAGAGAACCAGCACTGGAATCCGACTCCTAAGGATCTACCCAAAGGAAAATCCTTCCATACAAAACACACATGCACTCGTATGGTATGTTCATGGCAGTACTACTCACAATGGTAAAGACATGGAATCAGCCTTGGTGCCCATCACCAGTGGATCAGAGAAAGGAAATGTGGTACATACATACCACGGAACACTACACAGTCATAAAAAACAAATCCATGCCCTTACCAGAAACCTGGACAGAGCCGTAGGCCATTATGTCAAAAGGCAAGAACAGAAAACCAAAATTTTCAAAACAGCTACAAAGGTCAGTTGTGAATATTGTCTCCACAGAGAAATCATAAGTCTGGAGCTCACAGAGATGCCAGACACTGCAACTTCATTATGATGCTACGTTTACACAGATCAAATTGTCCCTTGCACCTGCAGGTTATACGTACATACCCTACGGCAATGAAATTGCTGTCCCATGTTGGTAACATTCATTCTCACCAGAGTGAGATGATATCTGAGTGTGGTTTTGATTGACTTCTCGTGAGGATCAGTAATGTTGATTCAGAATCTTTAACCTGTGCATCCATCTCAGGTCTTCAGGTCCTTCGCCCAGTCTTACACGTCAAATTGAAACAAGTTCACAATAACTTGGCAAACATCTCTAACCACAAGCAAAATGTAAGTCAAAACCACACTTAGATACCATTTCAATCTAATTGGAATGAGTATTAAAATGAAAAAAAAAACAACAAAACATCGAAAGAAAGGGAAACATTGGTGTGTTTTCAGAGAGAGAGAGAGAGACATTCTTTTCCACAGTTCGTGAGAAGGTAAACTTGTACACACACTACAGAAACCACTTGGAGGTTCCTCCAAACCTTAAAAGACTCCAACTACCATTTCAACCAGCAATTCTACTACTGGAAATACACTCAAAGCCATTGAAATTAGGACACCAAAGATCGATCTACCCACCCATATGGATTCCAGTACTGTTCCCAAGAGCCAGTGTAAGCATCAACTTACCTGCTTATCCACAGAAAAAGGGAGAAAGAAGCTGCTCCACATGTACACCCTGGGATACTCTTCAGACAGAAAACCACAATGACATCATATCGTGGGGAACCACACGGTTGCACCTGGAGAACATGATGGTAAATTAAATGAGCGAGGGGGAGAGAAACAAACCTTGAGTCATCTCACACATGCAGAATCTGAGAAACTATCTCAAACACCTGGCGAGCACAATATTGGTTTGCAGAGATTGGGGGAAAAGAGGAGTAATGGGCAGGGATTGCAAATGGGAAAATGAGAGGAAGAAAATTCTGTTGTTTTATTCCAGTGCAGGGTGACCAGGGTTAACCATATCGGCACATCACTTTCAAAGCAGCTTGACAGGAGAATACTGAAGGTTCTCACCATAAAGGAATAAACAATGGGAAAATGTAACAGAAACACTAAGTACCCTGATTTCATCATTCCACAATGTATGCATGGACCATAATGCCCCACTCTACCCTCTCATTGTATTGTTCCTTTACTATGCAACACATTTGTTGCAAGAAATAGAAATAGGCGATGCTAATATTCATGTGGGACCATGAAGTGCTCTGAGTTTCATCCTCAGCAATCCTGAGACATCTAGACTACACTGGACACATCACACTTCCTAATTTCAAAATTCATGGAAAAGCTAGGGACCTGCTTCCACATAGAGCAGAGGAACACAAGAGAGGACCAAGAAGTAAAATCACACACTGAAAACTATCTAACACAGAACCCACCAAAGTAAGCAAAGGGAAAAGGACACCCTATTCAATCAAGGTTGCTGAAATAAGTGGCTAGCCATGTGCAAAAGAATAACACTAGGCCCCTACCTCTCACCAGACACAAAAAGGAACTCTACATGAATGAAAGATTCCAACGGAAAAACTCAAAGTATTAAAATCTTATGAGAAAACTTGTGAAATATCCTTACCCACATAGGCTTTGGCAAATCATTTAGATGGCTAAGTCCTGAAGAGTAATGGCAATAAAAACAGAAATTGACAAGTCAGACCAAATACCTGAAGGAGCTGCTGCACAGCAAAAGAAACCACCAACAGAGTAAACAGACAGCCTACAAAATGGGAGAACATGGTCCCAAACTGTGCATCTGACCAATTGTAATATGCAGAATCTACAAGGCCCTTCAACAAGTCAACAAGGGAATATCCCATTAATAAATGGGCAAGAGGCATGTACACGCACTTCTCAAGTCAATGTACAAGCAATCAACAAATAGGAAAACATGCTCAAACTCACTCATTATCAGAGAGCTGCCAATCAAAAACATGACGAGATGCCATCCCACGCAGGTCACAATGGTGAGGACCACACAGACAAGGAACACATGCTGGCGAGGCAGTTGAGGAAAGGAAACACTGGTATGCTTTCGAGGGGGATGAAAACTAGTACAGACACCGTTGAAAGCTGATCGGGGATTTCTCAAAGAGCTGCAAACAGAACTACCATCTCATCCAGTAAGCCTACTCCTGTGCATCTACCCAAAGGAATATCAATCCTTCAATCCAAAAGATACAGGCACTTGAATGTTCATGACAGTATTATTCACAATGTCAAAGACATGGAATCAATCTAGCCATCAACAGTGCATGAGAGGCCGGCACAGTGGCTCACACCTGTAATTCTAGCACTTTGGGAGGCCGAGGCAGGTGGATCGCTTCAGTTCAGAATTTGAGACCAGCCTGGGCAAAATGGTGACATCCCATCTCTACAATAATAAAAACATTAGCTGAATGTGGGGGCAGGCACCTGTAGTCCTATCTAATCCAGAGGCTGAGGTGGGAGGATCACCTGAGAACAGAAGACGGAAACTGCAGGCCAGTGTCAGAAGTGAACTAAGGCCCAAATAGAAAACCAAACGCTACATGTTCTCACTTATAAGCAGGAGTTAAACTTTGAATGGACTCAAACATAAAGAAGAGAACAACAGACACCTGGAATGACCACCAGACCAATAAGAAAAACAGGGGAGAGGGAACGTGTGCTGAAGACCCACCCTGTGGGCCCTCTGCTCACTGCCTGGGTTACGGGGTTGTTGGGACCCCAAGTCTCAGTGTCATGCAATCAACAGATGTAACTAACTTGCATATGTACCTTTTAAACTATAATAATAAAGAATGCACTGAAAGAAAAATCCAAGGTTAGAACCGAAGAAAATAATAAATGAAAAAATAATCTGTAGATATCCAAACAATCCATGACTGTCATAAACACAGAATGAGGACCTAAGAGACACAATGTGGCAGCCAAATACTCTATCCAACATGTTATGTAGGGAACACATTTTTCAAAACCCCAAAAAGATACAATGGGAAAGGGAGAGTATGGTTCAATTATTGATTTTGAGAAAACTGAATATCCACAGGCAAAATACTGAAATAGGACCCTTATAATGCACGATACACAAAATCAACACAAAATAAATTAAAGACCTAAACTCAATCTTGAAACTGTAAAGGTCCTCTAAGAAAACATAGAGTGGGTGTATATTTTAGGAAACCCTGTATGTATGCAAACAGGCTGCAAAAGGTAAAAAAGCATCACAACACTAAAAACAAAGTAGGGAAACTACACCCATAGACAATGCAAGGCTTGGCTCCGTGTGTGTGTGTGTGTGTGTGTGCGTGTGCACACACGTTTTCCTGTTTCGTGGAAGTGGGGTGTTGAACACAAAAATCACTGTTAACATACGCAACTATAACCATATGAGACTAGGGACACTTTAAAAAGTCTACAGGGAAAAGGAAACAAACAAAAAAAAGGACTCCTAAAGACTGGGAGAAACGATAAAAAATCCTAACCCTGAAAGAGGTTGTTATCTAACACATACAATAAACTGGTATGACTCAGTGAAAAACAACAACAATAAAAACAACAAATATCCAAGGTAAAAGGATCTAAGTAGACCTGAGTGAAAAGAAGTCAGAAAACTGACTCACAGGTGACAGTTCCTCAATATCACTAATCCTCACAAAAACATGAATCAAAACCATAACTGAAATCAAAACCATCTAATTTCACCTAGAATGAGTATCACAAAAGACAAAAATCAAAATTGTTGAAGGCAATGGTCAGTGTAGACTTACAGAAAAAAATAATCTTCTACACTCTTTGTGAATGAAAATTACTGTACACACTACAAAAACTTTTGGAAGTTCCTTAAAAAAGTAAAAGGTAGGCCAGGCACGATGGCTCACACCTGTAATCTCGGCACTTTCGGAGGCTGAGACAGGTGGATCACCTGAGGTCAGGACTTCGAGACCAGCCTCATCAACATGGTGAAATCCCATCTCTACTAAAAATACAAAAATTAGCTAGGCATGGTGGCAGATGCCTGAATTTCCAGTCAGTTGGGAGGCTGAGGCGGGAGAATTGCTTGAACGCAGGAAGCGGAGGTTGCATTGAGCCGAAATCACACCACTGCACTCCAGCCTGTGCGACAAGAGCAAGACTCCACCTTTAAAAAACAAAAAAAACTAAAGGTAAAAGTACAACTGCCACTCCAGCTGACAATCCCACCACTGGGTACATGTTTAGAGAAAATGAAATCCCTGTGTTATCTGCCTTTTCATGTGTCCTGAAGCTCTAGTCACAATAGCCGAGATGTGGAATCAACCTACCTGTCTATCCACAGATGAAGGGATAAAGGAACCACAGTATATATACACAAGGAAACACACTTCAGCTGTAACACTTCAGGAAATCATGTCATCTGCAACCACTTGGAGAAACCTGGAAGACAATTAGGTGAAATGAAACGAGTCTGTTAGGGAGAGACCCACGCTGCATGACATCAGGCATATGGAATCCAAAAAGCACTGTCTCCTAGAAAGAGAACTTTCAACAGGGGCTACTAGAGGCTGGGGAGAGCAGGGAGCCTGGGCAGGGATTGGTAACGGGTACAGAGTGACGCTCAGATACGAGGAATCCATTCTGGTGTTCTATTGCACATCAGGGTGACTAGGTGACTAGGGTCAACAGAATCTAGAAACATTTTTCAAAATCAGCAGGAAAATACGGTTCTGAATATTCTCTCCACAGAGAAAAAATGATGATGGAAGATCATAGACATGCCAGATACGATGATTTCATCATGATTCTATATACAGATATCTCGAAATGTCCCTTGTACCTTGGGTTGTGTGTGTGTGTGGGTATAATGTATACTCTATAGAAACAAACTGTCATCAAATGTTGGTAGTATTCATTCTAACCAGAGTGAGATGAAATCTGGTGTGATCTTCACTTACGCTTTTGTGTGCATCAGCAATGGTGGGAATCTTCTCTTTGACCTGTGCATAAATCGCGTGTCTTCAGGTCCTCCACCCAGTCCTACATAACAAATTAAAAACAAATTCACAATAACTTAGCAAGTACCATTTATACACACACACAAAAATCAAACACACACTCAGATTCCATCTCACTCTACATGCAATGGATGCTACAAGAAAAAAATTGAAAAATATTAAAACATAAAAAAAATCACAGATCTTCAGAGGAGGCACTTGTCTCCACACTTGGTGGAAAATGGAAAATGGTGAACTAGTATGCACACTAAAGAAACCACTTGTATGTTCCTTGAAATCCTAAAACTACAACTACCATCTTATCTGGTAATTCTATTACTAGGTATACAAGCACAGCACATGATCAGGACATGGAAGAGATGATCTGTCATCCCAGGTGGAATTCAGTCCTAGGCACAAAAGCCAAGGTAAGCAATCAGTCTCCCTGTCCATTCACAGATGAACGGATGAAGAATCTCTAGTACACGGACACAATGGAATACTTCTGGGCCATCAAACTTCACGGAATCCTATCATTTCCAGCAACATGGCTGCATCTGGAGATATTCTGTTCAATCAAATCAGAAATGCAGACAAAGACCATGCCTGCATGTTCTCACTTATGTGGGAGCTGAAAAATGTAACTCACTGAGGTGAAAATACAGTAATGGTCACCGCAGGCTAGGTGGAGGAGAGGACATCAAGGATTGGCAATAGGTACACAGAGAGTTACAGGAGAGGAATACATTCTGGTATTCCAGTCCAAAGCAGGGCGACGATACTTAACAACATGGTCGTGCCGTTTTCAAAAGCGCTACCAAGGAGCATACTGAATGTTCACACATCGAAGATATTAAACCTATACGTGGTCAGAGGCATGGGAAACTCCCTGATTTTCTCCATACTCAAGGTATATAAACAAGTATCACAATGTCCCAATGCACCCCTAATTCTGGACATAAAGTATGAAACAAATGTTTTATGAAATATTACTGATATACGGCTAGAAATTCCCATGGAACCACCAAAGACCCAAAGAACCTGAATATGCAAATTCTAGGGAATACAAACTCAATTGGAGGCTGCACACTCCCCAGTTTCAAAATACATGTAAAACCTCCACTCATCCAAAGACTATAGTAGTGGCAAAGAAATGAATCCATGAAACTAGGGACATAAGAGAACCTAAACGCACACCTGTATGCAGTCAACACATTTTTTTCAAAGGAACGCCTAGAAGATGCAATGAGGCTGGGTGCTGTGGTTCACACCTGTACTCCCAGCGTTTTCGGAGACTGAGTCAGGCAGATGACTTGAGGTCAGGAGTTTCAGACCAGCTTGGCAAAAATGGTGAAATTCCATCTCCAGTAAAAATACAAAAAATACTAGTTATGTGTGCTGGCGCACACCAGCAATCCCAGCCACCTGGGAAGATGAAGCACGAGAATCTCTTGAAGCAAGGAGGCAGATGTTGCAGAGAGCTGAGATCTCGCCACTGCACTCTAGTCTCGGTGACAGCATGAGTGGGACTGTGTCTCAAAGATAAAAAAGATGAGATGAGGAGTCAGCAGTCTGTTCAGTTGAGCAGTCTGAAATGACTGGATAGCCACATACGAAACAATGAAATAAGACCTTGATGTTATACAATACACAAACATAAACTCAACATACATTAAACCCTAAACACAAGACCTAACAGCGTAAAACTGCTACAGGGAAACACAGAATGAGCTTAAGTTTAGGAAAACCTGAATCTAAGCTCACAGGATGTAAAAGCAAACAATAGAAAAAAAGAAAAACAGAAAGAAACCCACTTTGAACAACAGAAGTCAAAAACTCTAGTTTTTGTTATTGACCTTATCTTACAAAAACAGTCACTGCTAGCCAGGCAGAGTGGCTCATGCCTGTAAACCCAGGACTTTGGGAGGCCGAGGTGCGCAGATCGCTTGAGATCAGGAGTTTGAGACCTGCCTAGCCAACATGGTAAATCCTGTCCCTATCAAAAATACAAAAATTAGCTGGGAGTAGTGGCACACACCCGCAGTCCCAGCTACTCGGGAGGCTGAGACAACAGAATCGCTCGAACCTGGGAGGTAGAGGTTGCAGTGAGCCAAGATCGTGACACCCTACTCCAGCCTGGGCAACAGAGCGAGATTCTGTCTCAAATAAAAAAAAAAAAAGGTAAAACAAAAAAATCACAACTAAAACAATCAAGAAATAAAAACACAAAACAACCTGAAGAAGTTCTGCACAGTAAAGAAAACAATGCACTAACCAACACTCAGAAGGCATTCTTCAGACAGAAAGGATATTACGAGGAATCATGTATCTAAAAGCAGTTGTTACCTGACATCTTGGAGGAACTAACACCCCACTGAGGAGCAAAACACCCAAAACCAAGTAACCCCGCCATAACCGGGCAACAAACCTGAACAGACATTACTGAAAAGGCGATATGCAATTCACTAACAGGAAAAAAAGGTGGTTCTCACCACTGCTAGTCATCTCTAAACTGTAAATGATAATCACACTCAGATACAAACTCACTCTAATTCTAACAAAAAATAAAAACCAATTATTTCAAATGAATGCCCCAGGGAAACCTGCATACACAGATACTCTTCCACAGTGTTGAGAGAAATCACCATTACCATAGGTACTACGAAAACCACTTGGAACTTCCCAAACAATCACAAAGCTAGCTACCACTTCATCTAGCAATTCCAACAGTGGGTATCTACTTATGGACAGAGAAATAACTACATGGAAGTCGCTAATAGCTTCCTTCCCAGGTGGAGTGAAGCACTACTCACAATAGTCAAGGGCAGATCACCTGAGGTCAGGGATTTGAGATCAGCGTGGCCAACATGATGAAACCCTGTCTCTACTAAAAATACAAAAATTACCCAGGTATGGGGGAACACACCTATACTCCCAGCTACTCGGGGAGCTAAGGAGGGAGAATCCCTTAAACACAGGAGATGAAGGTTGCAGTGAGCTGAGATGGCGCCACTGCACTGTCCAGCCTGGGCAACAAGAGAGAAACTCCGTCTCCAAAAAACAAAAACACAAACACAAACACAGGTAAAATAATGGGTTTCTCAGTATCACTGTTTGAGATCAACTCATCTCAAACATGTAAATGAAAACCACACCCTGGCACCATCTCAGTCTAACTGATATGAATATTGCCAAAAAGAAAGGCTGAGTTTGAAATAAGGCAAAAGCTGGTGAAAAGACAAAGAAAGTGATAATCTTACACACTGCTGGGTGGAACTTTAATCAGGATGTGCTCTAGGAAAAATAGTAGAAGGTCCCTGAACAAATTAACCATACGCCTAACATATAATGTCATCATCCCATCTACAGCCATCCATGGAAAGCAAATGAAATTTGTATGCTGGAGACAAAGCTTCCTTCTCCTCTTTCTTGACACGCTACTGACAATAGCCAAAGGATGGAATCAACCTACCTGTCCATCCACAGATGAAGGGATGAAGAATTTCCAGGACACAGGCACAATGGAATACTTTTCAGCCATCAAAATTCAGGGCATTTTTCATTTCCCACAACACGGCTGCACCTGCAAGATACTATGTTCAATCAAATGAGAAAAGCAGAAATAAGAGAAAGATCAAACCTGCATGTTCTCAATTATGTGGGAGCTGAAAAATTTAACTCACTGAAGGTGAAAATACAGTAGTGGTCACCACAGGCTGGGTAGAGGAGAGGACATGGGCAAGGACTGGCAATAGGTATGCAGAGAGTTAAAGGAGAGGAATACATTCTAGTATTCTACTCCACAGCAGGGTGACTGTGTGTAACAATATGGTCGTGTCTTTCTCAAAATAGCTACCAAGGAGGATACTGATGTCCACACCTCAAAGATATAAGACCTATACCTGATCACAGGCACAAGTAACTCCTTGATTCTATCCTTATCCAAGGTATACAATTATCACAATGTCCCACTTCACTGCTAATTCTGGACATGTGGTATGAACCAAACTTTTTATAAAATGTTAACTATACACAGCTAAAAATTCAGATGGACCCACCAAAGACCCTGAATATGCAAAGCAATCCTAGGAAATACAAACTAGATTGGAGGCTTCACACTCACCTTCAAATTACAAGTAAAAGCTCTACTTACCCAAAGACTACGGCAGTGGCATAAAAAGAAACCATGCACCTGTGGACATAACAGTACCTAAACGCACACCTGTATGCAGTCAACACATTTTTTCTCAAAAGAACGCCTACAAGATGCAACAAGGCTGGGTGCTGTGACTCACAAATTAAAACCTAAACACATGACTCAAAAGCATAAAACGCCTACAGGAAAACAGTGAGCTTAAGTTTTGAAAAACCTGAATCGATGTAAAATAGTTCAAAAAACAACAAAAGGAAAACACTTCCAATAATAGAACTCAAAAATTTTGGTTTTTATTATTGACTGTATCCTACAAGAATAATCACTGTGTGACTGGGCACAGTGGCTCACACCTGTAATCCCAGCACTTTGGGAGGCCAAGAGGCGGGTGGATCACAAGGCCAGGAGATCAACAGCATCCTGGCTAACACGGTGAAACCCCGTCTCTACGGATTCACAGCTGAATTCTACCAGAGGTACAAAGAGGAGCTGGTACCATTCCTTCTGAAACTATTCCAATCAACAAAATCCTCATCCGCTAGTTTTTTTGAGTTTTTTTTAGTAGATTGAGCGAGGGTTCCACTCGCTGTTAGCCAGGAATGGTCTCCGATCTCCTGACTCGTGATCTGCCCGTCTCGGACCTCCCCCAAATGCTGGGATTACAGCTGGCCCCGGCGCCCGGGGCCCTACAGGCCATTTTCACAATATTGATTTCCTTCCTATCCATGAGCTGGTATGTTCATATTTCCATTTTTGTTCTGGTCCTCTTTTATTTCACATGAGGGTTGTAGGATTCACACTTGAAAGAGGTCCATTTTATTCCTTTTAAGTTGATTCCAGTTTTCATCTTTGGCAATTGGTTGTTCTGTCATGATCTGGCTCTCTGTCTGTTAACTGGTGAATACAACGCTTTATTTTTTGTACATTGAATTTATCGTAATCCCTGAGACTTTAACCGGAAGTGAGCTATCCAGCTAAGGAAATTTGGAGCGACTGAGATGGATGCCCGGGCTTTTCTAAATAATACCATCATGTCATCCTGCAAACAGGGGACAATTTGACCGAACTTCTTTTCCTAACTGAATAACCCTTGATTTCTTTCTCTTCCTGATTGCCCACCATAGGCCAGAACTTCCAACACTACGTTTGAATAGAGAGTGTGACAAGAGGGCAACCCTGTCTTGTTGCCAGTTATTCCAAAGGGAATTTTTCCAGTTTTTGCCCATTCAGATATGATTTGGGCTGAAGTTTGTCATAAATAGCTCTTAGTTATTTTGAGATACGTTCCATCATACCGAATTTATTGAGCGGTGTTTTTACATGAAACGGCTGTTGAATTTGTCAAAGGCCTTTTCTGAGCGATCTATTGACGGATAATCATGTGTTTTACTTTGGTTCGCTTATATGCTGGATTACATATATTGATTTGCATATTGTTGAACCAGACCTTGCACCCAGGGATGAAGACCCACTTAGACATGGGGATAAGGTTTTTGATGTGCTCCTGGATTCGGTTTGCCAGTATTTATTGAAGGATTTTTGCATCCGCCGATGTTCATCGGGGATCATTGGTCTCCAAATTGCTCTTTTTTGTTGTGTTCTCGCCAGGCTTTCGGTACACGCAGAGATGATGTTGGTCTCATAAAATGAGTTAGGGAGGATTCCCCTCGTTGGTGATTGGGA